GAAAGAGTAACTGGAAAATCTGAAAGTTATAAAAATTTGTTAGAGATGTTTACTCACTCTTTGGAAACTAATTTCATTTTTATGAATGTATTAATAAAACAACAATTGAACAACAATGGTTTAAATCTGATTTCTTTTCAAAGAAGCAGTCTGTACCCCGTAAGTTTTCTAACAGTCAAGGGATGTCTAATTTTTTGTAAGAGTAAAATGAAGGTTATGGTTGCTCAGATTTAAAGCAAATTATAAGTCAATAAGAAAGTTATATTTTTGATATATCAGCAGTAAAATAAGCAGTTTGTTACATCTTAAAGTTGATTTTCTTGTTATAATATGATAGTTTCACCAAAACTAAATACTTCTGCTAAAGAAATCTTGACTTACAGATATTTGAGTTGTAGAGGTGGAAATGCAGTTTTAAGCTCTGAAATATTATTGTTGCCGAGGTCCAAAGTTTCCAGGGACTGAAAGTGTTTCAGCTGTTCAGGTAATATTTCAGCAATCCTGTTTCCAGCTCTAGAATGAAGGAAAGCAAAGATAATAGGAGGGATGGTACGACAATCGGAAAGGTGAATAATATTCTCTATTTCTCATTTGCTCTCCAGAAAAAAATGGAAAATTGCTCTAAACAGTACTTTTTAAAAGTTAAACAGCACCTCTCTAGTCACTTTAATCTTGAATTAAATAGTACGCTGTAACGTTAGAATATAATATGAAGAACATCCCTGTAAAAATACGGGCATGTTACCTAAATGCTATGCACTTCGGAGCAAAGATGGCTGCACTCTAACAGGAGGCTGCGTGCCCTTACTCCCAGCACGGACTGGATTTACAGCTAAAATACCGCGCAGTCGGCTGGGAGAAACAAGAAACGCATAGCTGATTGGACGTATTTTGACCGAGGAACACTGAAGACAAACAACGGAGAGAGTGCACCTAGACAACAGCTCACACGATGTGGCCTCACAGCCTGAAAGGAGAGTCCTCCCATGAACGGGGCAACGGCAATCTAGACCCAATCACAACAGAAGAGTCCAAATAACCCACGAAAGGGACACGCCTAGAGCATACAGCTCAGAAGTACAAGGAAGACGCACCGCTAGGTCCCACAGAGCATTCACTACAAAAGCCCACCCCACAAGATGGGGAGTCAGAGCAAACATATCCAATACATACATGCTATGCACTTACACTGCTTTTTCTCTGTTATTTGGTTAATATCCATTCTTCCTTTTCCTTTTTATTGTCAGTGCCCAGCACCGAGCTGGCAGTCCAGGCACTGATCTGCTAGTTCCCTCTTCCTTCTTCTTCATTCCTCATCTACCTGTAATTCTTCGCTTGGAAAGTACCCACACTTCAATACTCATCAGACCGGGGCTTTTCAAAAGCCATCCTAGAAAGATCTCTTTTTCTTTAAGAAATAACAAGTTTCAACACATTGCCACCGTCTTCCAAACTGGTGGATGTGTTTCAGGGCTCAGAATGTGATACAGTACTACACAGGAGCATCTCAGTTTACGTAATCACTGGTAGTAATTACACTTAAAATTTTTGACATGCCCTGGCCGGTTTGGCTCAGTGGATAGAGCGTCGGCCTGCGGACTAAAGGGTCCTGGGTTCGGATCCAGTCAAGTGCCTTGGTTGCGGGCACATCCCCAGTGGGGGGGTTATGCAGGGGGCAGCCGATCGATGTTTCTCATCAATGTTTCTGACTCTCTGTTCCTCTCCCTTTCTCTCTGTGAAAAATCAATAAAATATATTTACAAGAAAAAAATTTTTTGACATTAAGTCCTGAATACCAAACCAGAATGTCCAATGTGGTAGCTACATGCGGCTCTTATTTAAGTAAAATCCAATGTTAAAATTCAATTCCTTAGTCATCCGGAGCCACATCTCAAGTCCTCAGTAGCCACGGGTGCCCGGGGGCTGTCCAATGGGACAGTACGCACACAGAACGTCTCTATCACTGTGGAAAGTTCTACTGGCGAGCACTGTGCTAGACTGCAAATTAAAAAAAAAAAAAGAGGCCATCAACACAACCGATTCCAAGGCGAAAGTCAGCGTCAAATGGCCACGTTGCTAGAAAAGAGGAATTAAACTGAGGTGAGGGTCCTCTTAATTGCTACATCAGATCTTTGTCTTTTCAGTCATTTGGCAGAGGAAACAGCACATGAAGGCAGAAAGGTTGGGAAGGTAACAGTCTACCTACAAACAAAAGGTCTTCTCTTTACAACCCACCCAAGAACAATAAAACACTCTGAAGGCAGAGCTCTGTATGCGAGACAAGTCACATGCTGGCATTTCTAAACCTAGTCTGCAGTTAACCTCCGCTGAGTGAGAAAACTTAGAAGATGTGTCTCATACATGTATGTTTCTTACCAACAGATATAGTTCTATGGTGTTGAGTTTATTAAGCTTTTTTGCATTATGATAAGTCACAGTCCTCTCACCATCTCAGAAAGCTCCTGAGGAAGGTTCACTTGATGTATTTTCCACAAAGTCCTGTGCTGTGTTCTTCCGTAGCCCTTACCCTGGCGGCCTTGTCTGTCATGCTGTGCACTACCCCCTCCATGCAGGGATATGTCTCTCCACCTCTATCTTGGAATGTGCAGGGAATCTAATCATGTTGAAGATATATTATTAGCTTCCAAGCTCTACGCTAAGCATTTTCCAATATATATATTTGCCACTTAACCACAACAACATTTCTCTGGTATAGATATTACAGTTAAAATTAGGAAATTAAAGCTTTTAATCTAATAGCGCAAGCACTCCCAAAGCACCTCACAGAGTAAGCCCTTATTGGTCCCAAGGCCATCCCTGAGGGCTTGTTTCATGGCATACAGTTTCAAAGGTATTTTGACAATTAAGGCCTCATGGGGAGATGCACCTAAAGAAATGCCTACTACTTCCCACCCTTGTAAAAATGCTGTCCTGGTTTCAAGCTAATGTGGGAAGCCACCCTGGCTCACTGAGGCACCATCATGCCACAGTAAGGAAGCCCTGGAGATGCCTCAGCTGTGTTTGCACACAAGGGAGATCAGAGGGGGCCAGGGTTCTGCATGTGCCTGGCACCCATCACAGAAGAACTTCCTGAGTGTGTGCAAACTTCAGGTGTGGCTTTCCTCACAAAAGAGAATAAGGTTGTTACGTTTTCTATGTAGACAACTAATGAAACATCTCAAAGCCGTGCTGAAATCCTCCCTATGTCACTTCCAAGGACTGTGGGGGAAATCTTTTTTGATCCAAGTCATCTGAGAATCTAACCCCACTGTAAAGTAATTCTATACAAGGTAACAAGGTGATGCATATGGTAAGAGCTAAACTTTTGTGATAACAGTAAGGTGAAAAACACACACGTACAAGGCACAAATATCAAGGCCTCAGATTCCCATAACGTCTTACAGACTTTGTTTAGAGTTAAGTCAGCCACGACCTCTGATTCTGACCGTTTCCCACATCTGGATTCACCAGTGTATAAGCTCCTTGATCTAGTTGTGAGGTACAGAGCAATGCAAGTGAGACAATTAGTCAATTTCTAGGTCCCGGAGATGGATTCAGTCCAAGAGACAAGCCACAGGGCCTTAGGGTTAGTGTGTGTGGGTTAAACAAAACCACGCTTTAGGGGACAAAAATGTTCACTGAAATACATAAACCAACTGTTTGCATTACCAGGATGTCCTCCCACAATCAGTGGAGTAACCCTGAAGTGCCCAAGTCACCTCCCCCCCCCCCTTCCACCTCCCTCCCGTCCCCAGCCAGTACCTCCCATTAAACTCTACATCTGGTTTTGGCCCCCAGGCTGTCTGGGGCTAGTACAGCTACACTTATATTTAACAACAACAAAAAGAAAATGCTCAGCTTTAGTTTTCTGCAATAAACGGAGCAAATTGGTTTTTTGTGGGAGGGAGCGGGGGACCCACAGGTGTCTATCCCCTTGGTCAAATAAGGCTACGAGTTAGATAACAGGCCTTACAATCTTTGGTTTATATATTCGTTTGTTTATAAGGTAATTATGAACAAGGTATTAAAACTGCCAATTACTTGAGTGACGAATAAAATTTTCCTTGCAGTGAAAGTATGCTCCAGCCAAAGCCAGCCATTTCCTGAGCTGCACACCTCCTAAACTGCAGTGTGAAAGTGCTCAGTTACAGACGGGGCGGCACAGTGCCGTCTTTGTCAGCACCGCTCCCCGGCACAAAAATCCCTCACAACTGCCAGGATAATAGTCCCTGTATCACAGAATCCGGCCTCTGTCCTCATGGAGCTGAACGGAATCCAAATACCAGTTTCACATTAGCTCTCAGACTTAACGGCCAATAACTACCTGATATGCACCAGTTTTGTTTTTGTTTTTAAAGCCATACTTTATATCATGAAAGGGTTTTTTTAAAAAGGAGACAGCCACATTTAAAACACTAGATTAAAAACTCTTTTTAATCACCTAAAACCCTCCATCTAAACATGTCTGATACTTAGAGTGGGCCACAATTAGCCACTTCTAGAAGACAAAGATTTAATTCAAATCCAGCGTTCATTTTTTCTCCAAAATTGATGGGCACATTAAAAACACTGCTGTTAATGTTTTTGGCGGGAAGTATGAATTGCTTTAACAAAACAACAACAACAACAAAAGCCAAACTGTGTGAATATCTTTTTCCATTACTTAAGTTAATGTGAAAATGCCATCTTTGCATTGTTCAAAAACCACACTTTGGTACTGTAAGCATTGGAAGGTGTTTCGAACATGGTGTTTCAATCCGTCTTAAAGACTACGAATATTTTGGTCTTCTCTGCTTGTTGACAGTACAAGGTGTTCCATGGTTAATCACTGCCGAGGTCAAATATAATCGGTCCCTTGTGGGCAGACACAGACCTGGGGTCCTGGTCGGCTGGAATGCACAGGGTTCCCTCAGGCTTCTCAGAGCCACAGCAAACACAGTCCCAGGTATTTCGGCCGTGGCTTCTCAGGCCCAGCAATAAAGGCTTCATTTTGTTGCTAACGTCACCTTTCAGCCTACTCTGCCAAAGGCCTTTAAATGTAGAGGCAAACATGACTGACCATTTTGTATGATGACATTTGTTCTGGGACTGCTCAAGATCTAATAATGAAGGAGGGAGATATGGTCCCTGACCTCACAGAGCTGAAATTGCCCTGGGGTCAGGAGAAAAGGCAGGCAAACGGGAGTGGTCACGGAAGTGACAAGCGCTGTGATAAGGAAGTAGTGCAGTGGAAGAGGGAAGGGCAGCCTCCTAGCAAGTGGTGGGAGGGGTGCAGGAGGTCAGCAACACTTCCCACAGCCAGGAGCCCCCTAGTGTTCCAAGCAGAAGCAAGCGAGACTCCTGAGGCAAGGCTTGACTCCCTTTGAGGAAGTGAAAGAAAAAAGACAGCCTTGATGGCTGAAGTATAGTGTTCATGGGTGGAGGCTGCAGACAGAGGAAGTTCAAGCGTGAGGTGCTGGCAGGAGATAACAGTAGGCCAGATGGGCATGCTGTCAGGCATGTGGGCATGTGGC